AATGACTATGGTAATCTACTATTTGATAAACCCAAAGACTCCCATTTCTGGGATAACAATTCACAATTTGACAAAAATTGCTGGGAAAAATGGAAAATAGTATGGCAGAAACTAGGCATGGACCAACATCTTGTACCATATACCAAGATAAAGTCAAAATGGATTTAAGCACAAAGGGTGATACCATAAGCAAATTAGGAGAGCAAGGAATAGTTTTTACCTGTCAGATCTATGGAGAAGGGAAGAATTTATGACCAAACAAGAGGTAGAGAACATTATGAAATGCAAAATTGATAATCTGATTACACTAAATTAAAAATGGTTTGTAGGGGCAGCTATGTAGTACAGTGGATAGAGCACCAGCCCTGGAGTCAAGAGGACCTGAGTTCAAAACCAGCCTCAGACACATAACATTCACTAGCTGTGCGACTCTGGGCAAGTCATTTAACCCCGATTGCCTCATTAAAAAAAAAAAAGTTTTGCACAAACAAAGCCAATGCAACCAAAATTAGAGGGGAAGCAGAAAGCTAGGAAACAATTTTTACAGCCAGTGTCTCTGATAAAGGCCTAATTTCTAAAACATATAGAGACTGCATCAAATTTATAAGACCACAAGTCATTCCCTAGTTGTTAAATGGTCAAAGGATATAAAGAGGCAGTTTTCAGATGAAGAAATTAAAGTGATCTATAATCATATAAAAATGCTCTAGATCACTATTAATTAGAGCAATACAAATTAAAACAATTCTGAGGTACCATATTAGATTGGCTAACATGACAAAACAGGAAAATGATAAATGTTGGAGAAGATGTGGGAAAATTGGAACACTAATGCATTATTGGAGTTATGAACTGATCCAACTATTCTGGAGAGCAATTTAGAACTATGTCTAAATGGCTATAAAATTGTGCATATTATTTGACCCAGAAATATCACTACTAGCTCTGTATCCCAAAGAAATCACAAAAAAGGAAAAAGGATCCACATGTACAAAAATATTTATAGCAGCTCTTTTATGACAAAGAATTGGAAATTGAGGGGATGCCCATCAATTGGGGAATAGCAGAACAAGTTATGGCACATAAATATAATTGGAATACTATTGTTCTATAAGAAATGATGAGCAGGATAGTTTCAGAAAAACCTGGAAAGGCTTACATGAACTGTGCTGAGTGAAGTGAGCAGATCAAGGAGAACTTTGTACATAGTAACATCAACATTGTGCAATAATCAACTATGTTAGACTTAAATCTTCTCAGCAATACAAAAATCTAAGACAGTTCCAAAAGGTTCATGATGGAAAATGTTATCCACAGCCAGAGAAAGAATTATGGAGTCTGAGTGCAGATCTAAGCATACTGTTTTCTCTCTTTTTTTTCTGTCTCATGGTTTTCCCCTTTTGTTCTGATTCTTCCTTCACAACATGACTAATGTGGAAACATGTAAGCCTGTATCAGATTGCTGTAAAGAACTATGGAGTCTGAATACAGATCAAAGGATCCTATTTTCACTTTTTCTGGGGTTTTTTAATTTTTTTTCTTTCTTGTGGTTTTCCACTTTTGTTCTGATTCTTCTTTCACAATAGGACTAATGTGGAAATATGTTTATCATGATTGTACATGTATAACCTATATGAGATTGCTTGGTGTCTTAAGGAGGGAAAGGAGGGACAAAAATTTAGAACTCAAAATCTTATAAAAATGAATGTTGAAAACTATTTTTACATGTAATTGGGGAAAAATATACTATTAAGTGGGGAAAATTTAAAAATTAAAATAAAATTGTCATTTGCTATAGAAAATAATTCACAAAAATTTACCTTGTTTGCTTTTCATATATTCATCCAAGATATCCTAAATGATTTCATAGACCATTCTCATAAAGGTTTTATACGAAGGAAAAAGAAGACAGATGATTTAGTAGTCACTGATATCTTCTCTGCTGCTTTTTTTTTTGAATAAACAGAAATAAAAAATATTGGCTCTGATTTATTTTTTTTCTTTTGCTATCTTTCTGTCTTTGAGACATCTTCAGAATGGATGCCTGATTATTTTGAAAATTGTGTCACTTCTAACACAAATTTCTTCCATGTGTTTTGTCAAATCCAACAATTTCATCTATAGAAGTGCCATTTTTCTTTTGTCATATCACCTGTTAGGTGATGTGGCATCCTTTTTTTAGTAATAAAGGACAAGAGATTGCTACAGAAACCTGTCTTGTGTTTATTAGTTGTTGTACTTCCATTTCCATATATAAATGTTCTTGGGATTATTTGGATTAATTAGATCTGTCACAAAACTTTTTGCAAATTCACTTCCCCTTCACCATTTTGTAAGATTATCTTTTACCATCCCTCTATTATGGTATTTTGCAAATGAGCCTTTATTCTCAAGTAGTTTCTGCAGGGTACCATGTTTATTCACTTGACAAAGAACTCAAATGTGGTTGGATCAAATACATTCTGAGTCTTTTTGGCCTCTTCTGGTGGCAATTGCTTTACATCAGTCAAACTTCTCTAATAAATAGTGATATAAACATGGCTTTGTTGTTGTTTGGTCATTTTTCCAGTCATGTCCAACTCTTCATGATCCCATTTGGGGTTTTCTTGGCAAATATACTGGAGTGGTTTGCCAGCTCATTTTATAGACGAGGAAAACGAGGCAAACAGTGACTTGCCCAGAGTCACACAACTAATAAGTGTCTGAGGCTAGATTTGGACTCAGGAATATGAGTCTTCCTGACTCCAGGTCCAGCACTCTATCCACTGTGCCACCATAAATGCTTATTGACTTATTGCCTGACCTTCATCCCTTTTCCTACTTTCCAAAATCCGTAGCTTACTTAAATAGGTCAAATTGGAGTTGCTATAATTGGACACTTTTTTCTGACACTTATTTCATCTTCTAATTGGTTTTGACTTCGAAGTTTGTCTTAATCAATTGGTCCAATTGCCCCCATAGTTGATTTGGAAATGACTCCCATCATATAAACAACCAATCATTTTCTATTAAGATAGTCAATTTCATTTCTTATTACAATGTTTGGTGCTTATACTGTCTCCTGCTTTCCAACTCCCCTGAAAGTTTTTATTGTATGCTAATGGTTTCTAAGTATTCTACAAGCTTTTTTCTCTTGATTTTTTAAAATTCCAAAATGTATTTCCCAACATGGTTTTTGTTATTCTTTCCCTTGCCTGCTTATACACTGAAGTCATCAAATAACAGTATATATGTCAACTTGTTTGGGAAGATCTTGCCAAGTTCATTGTAGAATTTCTCTTCTTTATCCTCCTTCACAGATGTTAGAATGAAAAACTGCAATCAGCTTCATGCCAGTCTTTTTATTTATGCTTATGAAGACTATTTCAAGAAGAAGAAATAACTTGTCTTTGAACATGCAATGAAACATAAACCCTACCAACCACAAACCAACCTTCTGAGGACAAACCATAATCCATCCTTTTTATTTTACTGTGCCTCTTTTTAAATGTCATCCAGTTTAATTTATAGTGAGAAGGTCAAAACCTACGTAGTTCAACTTCCCCAGTAGGACACCAACTTACTTGCTAGTTGTTGGACACAGATCTCACATTTAAATCACCAGTGCTTAAATTAACATCTATTAGACAGCCCTCTGCCTACTTTGCCATTACTTAGCAACCACTACTGTGAAAGTGGAAGGGAACCACATAGGACTGCAGAACATTCCATATTTTTCTTTGTTTTCAGGCTTGTTGTGGCCAAAGAAGTTATCAGCTAAACTAGGTCAACCTGTTGACAATGAGCCTCTCCATATTTAGTGGGTATGGTCCTTAGACAATGGAGCATAATCTATTACTGGGATGATAGTCAAGGCCTTTCCAGCTTGGTAGAGCCTGCCAAAACTTGTTTTCCACTGGCTCACCATGGCTCATACTATCATACTACATATACATACCTATCATACTACAATGAGGCAATGGAGAAGTCCTTTAATGGAGCTAACTGTAGTAAAAATTCATTAACTATAAGAAGTTGACGAAGGCATTACAATGATTATAGAATCATCACAACAGCTGATAACAATCGGATTCTAGACATAGTTTATATAATATCCAAACCTTTATATTCTTGCCTAAAGAGCTGATGCACCAACCTAAGGTGCTAAAACATCACTTCATGAACTTTCAATTCCATTCCATTCAACAAATATTTAGTAAGCATTTTCCATTTAGAAGGTCCTGTGCAAAGTATTAGAGGCACAAAGATGAAAAATGATATAGTCCCTGCCCTCAATGAGCTTATAGGGGCTGATATACCATGTATACAGTGTAATACAAGAAACTATAATACAAGCACAATAGAATGGAGAATAAGGTAAGTGCAAAAGAAAGAACTAGACGAAAAAAAATTTTGAGAAAAATCTAAGATTATTTTTAGATGGATAAATAAAGGAAACCTTCTTGGAAGAGGAAATTCACCTTAGTTTTCACTACCTATAAAATGGGCTAATAAGTACCTCCCCTTTCTACCTCAGAAAGTTACTGTGAGATTGAAATGGACTCGCAGACATGAAAGCACTTTGAAAAGCTAAAAATACAATAAAATGTAAAGTGGCATTTGTTCATACTAAATCAATTGCCTTCTGCTAATGGCTTCAGACTTTTCCCATGCTCTTTTTAAAATCTGAGGGAAATGAAAAAACAAAACTTTGCACTCATTCCAAGGGAAATGTGTGTGTGAAATGTGAGCTATGGGTATGGCTCAGCATAAGTAGAGAAGAGTTTCAGGTCTCAGTTCAGCAGTGGATATGGGTGCTGTTTGATATCCTAAGTGCCTAATATTCACTGAGTTACCCAGGCCTACTTAGTTATACACCCAAAAAGAAATGGGTTCTGCTCCTCAATATGAAGTGGCCTGCCCAAGGTCCTACAGCAAAGCATTATCAGAACAGAGATGAAAATGGATACATCCTGAGTTTTAATTATATAGCAAGAAGTGGCTGGGCATAGATAACTTACTGGGAAGCCTAGAGGTGTCTTCATCAGCACTTCTCGGTCTACCCCAGGATATAGAGGAGTCAGCCTAGGTTCAGGGAACAGAAAATCCCGTGTGTTTTTTTCGTAGTAGGCCAGTAATGTCCCCTCTAAAAATAAAGGAAGAAAGAAGACAAAAAATGCACAAAATAATGGATTCATGGCCTGAAAAATTATATAAATCAGTCCTTGACCCTGGAATCATGAAGGTTCACCAAAGCATAGGCATTGATGGCTCTCAGAATGGGTTGAAATCATACCCAATTCAGATCAAGGCACCACTGAGTCAATAGAAGAATGATTCAAGTATCCCATTTTGCAAATTCCAAGGGTTGGATTTAGAGTCAAGCACCTTCTATAATGCCATGTTTAAAATAAAGGAAATCCCTAAATCTGATTATTGTGAGCCTATTAGTTTATATAATTCCTTCTCTCTATCATTAAAAAATACCTCCCTGATCCCCCTACTCCATGGAATTATTTAGATATATGTATATATATATATATATATATATATGTATGTATATGTATATGTATAATATATATATATGTATAATATATATTACAAATAATTACATATATCCACACACATATATTTTTTATATATTGTGATATATATATGCTTAGGCACAACAGTGTGGTTTGGAAGAAACAGTAATCAGGAAACCTGATTTCAAATTCCCAACTGTGTTAACCTGGGTGTGTCATTTAACCATTCTGTTAGCTTAGCTACTTGCATCTGTAAATTGGGGATGATAATATTTGTACACTATACCTCCAATCTAGTCCAATCCAACAAGCATTACTATGCAGATTACCATGTGCAAGGACTCTACTAGGCACTGGACATATACTAAGACAAAACCAAAAATATATATGTATACATATAATAATTTGAGGAGGGACAAAACATTCACAAGCGAGATTAGGAAAGGTTTCATGCAGGAAGTTGTATGTGAGATATGCCTTGGATCAAGCTAAGGATTCCAAGAGGCAAAGTGTTTTAAGAGACAACAGCCTGTAGACAGACAAGGAGGCAGGAGGAGATAGAATATGGAATTCAGAGAACACCAGGTAGGCCAATTGGGCTGAAACACAGAGTTCATAAAGTAGAATCACAGGGTTTATTGTGATAAAAGTGCTTTGTAAACAACATTATATAAATGAGTTAATATTATAAACTCTCTTGAACAAGGAATCAGTCTATACTGGGAAGCCAGTCAAAAGACCTTCCAGGTTAGAGAAGAGCAAAAGAATCACAAAATCACAGAATTTTCGGGATGAAAAATACCTGAGCTCATTATTCAAACCTCCTCATTCTATAGAGAAGAAAGGCACATCAGAATCAAAAAAATTAGCCTGTTCATGGTCACACAGCTAATTTGTGGCATATCTGTGAACCAGATATAGAACCGGAGTCTCTTGATTCCCCACCAGAATTGTTGGTTTGGGATGCAGAGGTGTTATCATTCTGAAACATCAGTGTGAAACCCATTGAATGAAGACATTGACATTGAGCCACTAGACAAGTCATGTTTATGTATATGCACCGCAGTTATTAAAGATGGAGGGAGAAAGGGATTCAGGCTTACAGCAGCTATTGTAAAAACAAACAAACAAACAAAATAAAACAAACAAAAAGCTCTATAGACAATGAAGCAGGGAGGTTTTTTGGTTGGGTTTTTATTTATTTATGAGAACTCTAGAAAGGGTATATTTGCAGCACAGTGAGCTAAGAAAACAAATAGCTTTAAATTAAATGACATGTGGATCTCTTTTTCTTTCTTCTTCCTCTGATTCTAATTAATGTCTTTATTCCAAGAGAGAAATGAGTGAAGTGGTAGAGAGGGAAGGGACCACAATGATGCATTCTTAATTTATACTTTCCATTCTTGTTGCATGTTATCTTGCTATCTCTCATCTCTCTACAATAGTAAGTCCTATTACCCCAGGCATGAGAAACACTCCCCCCTCATTTCTGCCTCTTAAAATCTTCTCCTTTCAAGTTTTAGCTTCAGGTACCCCACCCCATACTGAGCCCTCCCTCCTCACATGTTCCTAGAAATTGGAAATTGGATCTCTCCAATATAGCTTGGATCTCTTCTTTGCCCCATTATTCTAATTCATATCACACTTGTGTATATTATTTCACAACCAATTCTAAAGTGTAATAATAATTCACATTTATACAGAGTTTTTTAGGTTTGCAGAGGGCATTCTTCATAACAATAGATGTACAAGTATTAATAAGCTTAAGTTCAGAAAAAAGTTAAGAAAACTTGCCCTGAGTGACGCAACTATTATGCAGTGACACTATAATTTAAATTCAGTTTTTCTAAGTATGAGATCAGTATTTGCACTATATCCCACCGCTTCCCACTGCAAACTCCCTGACATTAAAGAATGTGTTGCTGTTTTTTATTGTGGCATAGTTAGACAGGGCTCTGGACTTGGAATAGGGAAGACTGGGACTGAAATCCTGCTTCCGAATACTTTGTAGCTATGTGACCCCTGCACAAGTCACTTAACCTTACTGTGCCTCACTTTCCTCATTTATAATATAAACTGGATGGACTTCATGGCCTGTAATGTCTCTTTCCAGATCTGGGTCTATAATTTTATTCTCTTTTTATCTCCAGCATCCAAGACAGGATCTTACACATAGGAAGTACTTTAAAATACCTGTTGAATTTAATTGAATTGTTGAATAATGTGTCATTAAAGGTTTATTTAACACAGCAACACTAAAATTAAATGTAATTTTATCAACTAAGATGATATTTCAAGAGAACCACAAATCATTAGTTTAAAAAAAAAGATTGTTCTGCTCTTCTCCCAAAGCTTTCAAATCCAATATTCTAAAGTGCTTTTCCAACATTAGCCCAACTTTTTGATAAAATCCCTGAGATGAGCTCTTCAAGATGCCACAGAAAGAGCATGGCAACAATCAGAACTGGATTCCTTTGCTGTGGGAAGAGCTGCAAAGAACCAAAATTGGTATTGATACAAAAGAAAGTCCAAGGGGGAGGGGTGGGTACAGTGGCAAAGAGAGTGATATAGCTATACATAGAGTCTCTAGGAGGAGAATCCTTATCCACCATCAAGTGCCACAACAGTATCTGCAACCCTGACAGAAAAAGAAAGGGTGTTATGTGGTTGGCTCTGGAGAACAGGGTCTAGACAAAGGACTGCAAAAGTCTTCCCCCCTGAGAAGGAAGTGTGCCATCAGTAGTGCCATCCTTCAGCCAAGCCCCATTCACCCCATGCTATTTACAGCCTGGATCAGAGGTTACTGATAATGAGTAATGAAGACCTGAGTCTTCAGATCTTCCCTCGGTAAACGTACTGCCTAGAAACCTTGAGCAAGTAAATTACTATATCTCTCTGGGCCTCAGTTTCCTCCTCAGTAAGATGAGCATAAATTAAATGATCTCTAAAGTCTCCTTCTTGCTCTAAGTCCAATGATCTTAGATAGAATTGAACATATTAAATTATGTTTCTTATAGAGGGGAATCATTTTTAAAATATTGCCAATTGAATCTTGCACACATTGTCAGACATGGCCACGGTACTGGGTGTTTTCTTTCAATTGCTTTTTCTTTGTTACAAGAGAGTTTGATTTGAGAGAGGTGACAGGGAAGTAATACTTCCAAAAATGAATGTGATATAAAAACCAAAGTCATCAACAAAATCAATTAGGTTCATATACATACAGACATCTATAAAATAAATATGTACATGCATATCTTTGAATAAATAAAACGTCAAACCTCTTAGCCATAGCCATTTTACAAAGTGCTATGTTATCCTGATTATATTTTAATTCAATAGAAACTACCTCATCTAGAACTCTATCCACCTGAACACTTAAGCTAAGATTGCATACTTCAGTGTATAATGATAAGGGATGCTCTTAATGACTTCTCTCAGACACTGAAATATCTTGAAGTGCCTTCTAAATCAAAACAAAAAAAAAGATTAAATGGTGTTCAATAAGAGGTTTAATGCTTTAAGAATTAGTCATAAATATACACAATCTATCAAAAGATCATAGGGTTTTTTTGTGCCTTACGGTTCACAAGTTTTCCTCACAACAACCATGTATGGTAGGTGGTGTAAGTATCATTATCCCCATTCTACATATAAGGAACCTGAGACTCAAAAGTATTATTAGCTGACTTCTGAAGTCACACAACTATATTATGGCACTGTTTCCAACATACTATCCAACCTCTGTTAACTGAAATACAGCATTTCTCCATTAGTTCCTTCACTCCTGAACAATGCCAGATAATAGAGTTAAAGGCTAGATAAAAGAACTTGCTATATTAAGAGGCAACACAGTGTCATAGAAAGGACACTGAAGGCAGCAGACCACAGTTTGAATCCTGACTCTGACACTTACTAGCTGTGTGATTCTGGGCAAGTCACTTCATTTGTTCCAAGGGGAGAATTTTCTAACCCTTAAAGAACTATGTGTATATGGGTCATCAATATTTTAGACCCCAAGAAATTATGCTTAAGGATTAAAATACCTTAGTCCTAAAATAACTCTAGTTGCTACCCTTTGATAAAGGTACATTATTACTTCTGCTTCTTTTGAACCTTAGAAAACCTACAGCCAAAATCCCAAAAACATAAAAATATAAATACAAAGTAATAAACATAATTTTAATACGTTAAGTATATATCATCTCATTGGCATTTTACTCATGCAGATTACACCTAGCCATGTATTCTTACCCTGTGCATTTCTTTTTCATAATTTTTTCTATAAATCCTTCACAGAAGATCCACCAAATGTACCCAGGGCCTTGCTCATGGTTTCTAAGTATTTTGTGGACATGGTCCTCTGTTTGTTCTTGCTTTCACTCTGGATAGCATACTCTCAAAAGTGCCCTTGGAAGTATCCAGATCTCACCCACAAGTCCTGAGTTCATAAGCTCTGGAGCTGGAAGGAACTCTACTTCTGTCTTACATTTATTCTGTCTTCTAATGTATAACATAAGGCCTTATCTTTCTCTTTAATTCTTAAGTTTCAAGTCCATAGTATGCTCTTTTAAAAATTATATTTAATCCTAGCCAATTCTGTTTTTTAAATCCTGTCTTG